TTGTCCCAGGTGCCAAAATGACCAGCCATTCAGATCTGGCTATATCTGGCTATATATAGTGCTGCTGGAATGAAAAGCTGCTTCACCACTGGTGACTGGATAGCATCTTCCACTGCACCAGTGAGCCTCGCAGTCGCTCCTGGGGCACAAGGCAGGATATGTGGTACACAACTCTCAACTAGAGATGGGCTAGAAACACAGATTCAGCAGTTTGTGCTGATTTGTTCTGAACAGGCATTCAGCACTTCCCAGCCTCACTTCCATTGGCAGGCGCCTACTTAGAGGCAATGTCCTGGCTTCCCTGGCCCACTTTGTCCAGGCGCTGCCTCTGAGTGGGCGCCCATGAGCAGAGGCAGAGTTGAGGAGCACCAAAGACCTGTTTGGCCACTAAACATAGCAGCACGGATCGTCAAATGATTGGCTTGTGCCCATCTTGGCTCTCAACCTCTTGCCCTTCCTCTAGGCTCCACATCGTTGTCATTTAGTCGTGTCCGACTCTTCGTGACCCCATGGACCAGAGCACGCCAGGCCCTCCTATCTTCCACTGCCTCCCGGAGTTGTGTCAAATTCATGTTAGTAGCTTCAATGACACTGTCCAACCATCTCGTCCTCTGTCGTCTCCTTCTCCTCTTGCCTCCACACTTTCCCAACATCAAGGTCTTTTCCAAGGAGTCTTCTCATGAGATGGTCAAAGTATTGGAGCCTCCGCTTCAGGATCTGTCCTTCCAGTGAACACTCAGGGTTGATTTCTTTTAGAATGGATAGGTTTGTTCTCCTTGCAGTCCAGGGGACTCTCAAGAGCCTCCTCCAGCACCACAATTCAAAGGCATCAATTCTCCGGTGGTCAGCTCTCTTTATGGTCCAGTTCTCACTTCACTCCACATAACAGCTGCCTAACAACAGAGCTGGCTCTGGCCAGCAGTCCTCCCTCCCACCCACCTTCTTTGCTTACTCAAAATAAAAGCATTGCTTTTTTGCTAACATCATGTCACAAAACCCCCCACATCCCTTGGCTACAGTAAATCAAACCTGCATTAAAGTCAGGGGCCAAGTCAACCCTAGAAAATTGGCACCAGATCTGTTCACACATTCACAATACCAGTCCCATAACCTCCTGTCCACTTAGGGATATCATTTCTTTTTCTCTGTCCATAAAATTTTTGTGAGAAGCAGAAACACGTGCACCTCAGAACCTCGATACTGCATCACTCACCTTTATCTTGGAGGCAAGTTGTGCCCCTGTGAGGGCTGTCCCTTCCCAGTTTCTCTTCACGTGCATTGCAGCTGATCTGGCTAGGTCATTCCCATAATCCCTCAGACATTCCCTAAAATCATCATCCATGTCTGGAAGAGATTAGCCAAACAGTTGGGGAAGAGGAATAGTTAGTAGGACAACATCTGCACAACTTCTCCCTCTAGTGCTCTCATACGACTGCAGCAAAAACAATCAAGAATCTTAATCAACTATTAAGTTTTATTTGCCACAAATGTTTGTAGACATCAAATACTCAAGAGTATGCCATTCAAACCACTGTTGACTGTAACAAAAGTTTACTTATGAGCCTCATGTTCGTATGCCCACTGGTTCTGTTCTTACATTACATTTTACTAATCATGGATTTTCAGATTTTTTTGGACTATATTCAGAGAGTTCCATCTGACATACAGACACCTAAATGGGACTCACCTAGGAGAAAGGCCTAAATTGGAAGACTGTGCGGCCTAGCTAGGCCTAGCTCTCCCTAGCATCCCGTTCAAAAAGGAATCTCCTAGCCATCACTGGGCAGTGTCCTTTCTGAACAGGTATGTAGGCAGAGCTAGGCCACAAAGCCTCCCAAGTTTAGGCCTTTCTCCCAGGTGAGTCAAACATATCTGCCTATAGGTCAGGTGGAATTCCCAGGATGGAAGAAAAGTGAGTTTAAAAATAATTGATAAAAGGTACTCATTATTTGTCACTTTTTTCTGCTCTTGCCAGGTTCCTCTGGATTCCTTTCTGGAGCTAAAAACCTCCCTTCCTGCCAGTGGAAAAATATGGATATCCTATTGTTTGGCTCTGCCATCTTTTTCCTGCGGGGTTAAGAACAGTTAAACACACCCTCCCCAGGACCTTTACTCTGATCTTAATCTGAACTTCTGCCAAGAAGAGTGAACTGCTTAACTCCTTTGCTAGGATACAATTACACATCTTACACATCTTTTGTGGTTATTTAGCCATGAGGGACATGCTAAGTCCAGGATCTGTGTTGGCTGTTGCTTAATTAGTTGCAGAGATAATCCCTGTGATTGCTGAACAAAGGAAGTGGAAATTTGGGGAACAGCTGGAGTATTTGGTGAGACAGCTCTAAGAGGCAATCTGTGTTACAACAGAGGTGGAGAATCCTCTTTTGTTAAAGGGAGGCCACTGGTCTATGGGAGAAGTCAACCTCAGACAAAGCCGGGGCCAGGAATGACTGAAGTCTGTAGCACAGCTTTTGAGTTACACAGCTTGCTTTTTCTCTTGACCCATCCCCTCCCTCTGCCCATACTTGTGGGCATGTGTGTGGACACTCACCCACATACAGAAAGGCAGTTCATGGACCAATCAGAAATCTACCAGTCCCCCCCACCTCCCCCCCAAAAAAGAGTTAAATACTGCTCCACTTTTGTGGGGGCTGTTGATTAAACTCAAGGTCTTGTGCTTTTGGCATATCGCTAGAAGTCTCACAGGAAAAAGACAGCAAGTCTTGGAAAACCTAAGCAGGGAAAGAGGAAGACCTAACATCGGATGGATTGACTCTGTAAAGGACGCCATGGCCTTGAGTTTGGAAGAGCTGAGCCTGGATATGAGCAAAAAGATCTTTCAAAAGTCACTAATTTATAAACTCGCCAGAAACAACTTGGTGGCAAGGCTGCATGATCTCCTGGGGCCATCAGAAGGAGCCACCGGGGAGACACTTGTGCAAGAACTACCTGGAAGAATGAATGCAAGCAGGTGGTGAGGAATCTCTGAACCTCCAGATGTTGTTATGTACCATCAAGTTGCTTCTGGCTTACGGCAACCCTACAAAATGAGCAGTTTCCAAAATGTCCTGTCCTCAACTGCCTGCTCAGCTCTTGTAAACTCAAGACTCTGGCTTTCTTTAGGGAGTCAGTCCATCTCATATTTGGTCTTCCTCTTTTTCTGCTGTCTTCAATCTTTCCCAGCATTATTGTCTGTTGCAGAGAATCCTCCCTTCTCATTACATGTCCAAATTAGGATAGCCGGAGTTTCAATATTTTTGCCTCCCCTCCCCAGGGACTTGGGTACTCAATTTACCCACCACAGAAGGATGGAAGGCTGAGTCAGCCTCATGCCGGCTACCTGGGATTGAACCAGGGTCGTGAGCAGAGTTTTCACTGCAGTACTGCAGTTTAACCACTGCATCACGAGGCTCTTTTCATTTTCACAAATAAGGACAGCTCCCCATATTTGACATCATAGGTGGCCTGTGACATGCTAACTCCAGGAGTGAGGAGAGTAGTAGAGGAGAAGACAGGATTAAGCTGCTTTTAAGGCAGTGGGGGAACCACACTTGTTTGGATGAGAAGCCATCATGCTTTAAAATATTAAAATGAAATATATGAGAAAGTCCAGTCTCTGCTTCAGGAAAATGATTGAATTAATCTAACCCTTTTTTGGGTCTGTGGTAAAAATAAAATTAGAAAAAGCCACTGCAGAAAGAAAACTCATAAAAATATCACATCCTACTGCATGATAAACTGAAAGACAGTTTTATAGAACCAATGCTCCACCCCGTGGTGGAAAGATGAACAGCTTCTGTTTTCCATGGACCTAAACCTGGAAAGTTTGCCTCTTTAAGGCATTTTAATCCCTTGCTTTGGAATTTTGCACATGGATCATCCAGAGATCTAGGAGACAGATATATGTGGGAAGAAATATGGAAGTGGGAGAATGCTAGGAGATGAAGGTTTTGTCATGTGGAGAACTTCCATTAATAATGAAGGGTCTTCAAAAAAAACAACAACAGTTCTTCATGTGAGAAGGATTTATAATTTTATAATCTCAGAACTGCAGGGCTGTTCTGGATCACCACATCCAGCATGTGTTAAGGAGACACAATGGGGAATTGAACTTCCAATCTTTCGCTTTGCAGCTAGATACCTAAACCACTTAACTATCCAGCAGGGCTATCCAGTCGGACGGCAACAGATGGGGGCAGACCTAGATTAATTAATGCAGATTAATTCCGCCTCAATCCATAAAGCTTGAAAGCTTGTGAGTTCAATTCCCCACTGTGCCTCTCTAACACAGGCTGGACTCTGTGATCTATAGGATCCTTTTCAGCTCTGCAATTGTGAGATTATAGTGGTGCCTTGCTTAACGAGTGCTTCGTTTAATGACTAATCTGCATAGTGACAATGTTTTTGTGATCGCAAAGGCGATCGCATTGCGATGTTTTAAATGGTAAAATATCACTTTGCGATGATTGGTAAGCTGTTTCGCTTATCGATTTTTGCATAGCGATGATTTTAGAACAGCTGATTGGTGGTTCCAAAATGGCCACTGGGTAAAAAAATGGCCACCCACTTGTTTTTGCGCCCATTCCTTGCTTACCTGACAGTGAAAATGGCGGCCGTATGGAGGATTTTCGCTTAAAGGTGAGTTTTCTGCCCATAGGAACGCATTAAATGGGTTTTAATGCATACGTATGGACTTTTTCTTTCCGTATAACGACGAATCCGCATAGCGATGATTTTTCCGGAACGGATTATCGTCGCTATGCAGGGCACCACTGTACTTTGAAATAGAAGTTGGATAACCACCTGACAGATGCGTTTCAATAGGAATTTCCTGCTTTGGTAAGAGGCTGGATTTGATGACCCTTGAGAGCCCTTCCACTCTTCTATGATTCAAGATTACCATTCCCCCATGGTGGCTCACGGATTCTTGGTCTTGTAGTCTGAAAAACAACAGGTTGATACTCTGGAAGAGGAAAATAAATAACAATACTAGTGAGGTCTTTACCTGCTAGGGTGCCCTCAGTTTCCACCACCACTTTCTTGCCAGGGAACGGCATCAGGTAACAACGGGTGGTGGTCTTCTTGAGTGTCCCCAGGACTCGTGGGTGCTTGTTCGGTTGATTCTCCAGCCTCTAACAGTGAAACATCAAAAGGAATTTAAAGGCTGCCATCTTAGAACCACAGCAAAGAGCCCTCCTGTTGTTCCTCTCTTGCGGATGATGGGTGGGCCCAGAGAGATGCCAGAATTCAATTCCTTGATAAGAATTTATTACAATTCAAAAATTTCTTCAAAGATGACAAGAACTTGAGATTTGGGGGGGGGGGATTAAATAGTAGAAAATCTGAAACCTGACAATTCACCCTAGTGCAGCTTGTAACCTAAGACCAATATCCATCCTATTGGTAGTCCTAAGTAGAGTAGACTCATTGACTCAGGGAGATTTGTACAGGCCTTGACTTTGACATTCAGCAGTTGTTTCAGTGGATCTTGCTTAAATGGAAGTAGCAAGGGGATACTAGCTTGAAAATCTGCATTTTAACCCTGGTACAGTGGACCCTTGACTTACAGACGGTTTGACTTACAGACTTTTTGAGTTACAGACTTCTCTGGCCGCAAAATTTAGGTTTGACTTGCAGACTGAGATTTGACTTACAGACCAGAAAAAAACCAAAGTGGAACAAAAACGGCCTGTTACGGGATTAATCGGTTTTCAATGCACTGTAGGTCAATGGAGACTTGACTTACAGACTTTTTGACTTGAGAACCGCCTTCCAATACGGATTAAGTTCTCAAGTCAAGACCCCACTGTATATTTCAATATACCTGGCAGGGTAGCTGAGATCAATTTATTACAATTCAAAAATTTCTTCAAATATGACAAGAACTTTTTTGGGGGAAAATTAAACAGTAGAAAATCTGAAATCCGACAATTCACTCTTATGCAGTTTGTAACCCAGGACTAGTATCCATCCTATTAGTAGTCCTAAGTAGAGTAGACTCATTGACGCAGGGAAATTTGTACAGGCCTTGACTTCGACATTCAGCAGTTGTTTCAGTTGATCTTGCTTAAATGAAAGTAGCAAGGGGATACTAGTTTGAAAATCTGCATTTTAACCTTGGTATATTTCACTATATCTGGCTGGGTAGCTCAGGTCTTTAGGTATCTGGATGTAGAACCAGAGGTTGGGAGTTCAGTTCCCCACTGTGCATCACAGAAGAGCCGGATTGTGTGGCCTTGGGCAAACTGCACAGTCCCAGGATGCCCTCAGAAGAAGGGAATGGTAACCAACATTTGAGTATCCCTTATCCGGAAAACCCCGAAAAGGGTTGCCGTAAGTCAGAATTGACCTGATAATGTATGATATTTCAGCATGTTAGAGCTGAATCTGATTTGTCGTATGTTTCCTCTGAGGAACTCGTTTTCAACAGAAACCTGCAAGTCAGGTACAACATGGTTCCCTTCATGCAAAGAGTGGCTGCGTGGATTCAAAGTGACCAGTGCAAATGAGAAAGAATTTTATTTCGTATAGTTTTTGAAGCATTTATCAACATTTAGAAATCTTTATATTTGGAATGCAATGGCCCTCAGGAGTTGCTTTCCTCAGCTGACCATCAGACAACCCAAAACCTGACAAATATCTTCATCCCTAGGTGGACCCCTTTATGGACTTCCTATTTTTTCCAATACCCTTGCAAATTAGCTGATACAATAGAAGAACCAATTACCTCTCTGACATCTTGGAGATATTTCTGGCCTCCTTGGAGCCCATAAATGGGTGGGTAGAACCAGTCACGGACCAAGATGTCCAGATGCTGCAACAAGAACACAAGACAATCTGGATCCTGACAGCCATCCCTTTGCAATGTGCAGACAAAGACCAATTTCTCTGTTACACTGAAATACATGTTTACAGTTCTGGATCAAAACACTTTTATTATTATTCAAAAACACCAGGCACAGTCAAAATTATAAAAACATGGACGGGTATTATATAAAAGAAAATTATAAAAATATTGACTGGTATTATAAAAAAGAACCAAAAACCTAAGTATCTGTTAAATATCGACACAGTATATATGTTGTTCCTAATATTGCCATTTTTGGAGCTTTGATGGTGTGACTTCTGAGATCTGCAACTGCTTACAGTACTGTGTGAAATTTCTTGATATTTTTTCCAAACCCCCAATGAAATGCCAATGACTAACATGAATTTGACCCAACTCCGGGAGGCAGTGGAAGACAGGAGAGCCTGGCGTGCTCTGGTCCATGGGGTCACAAAGTGTTGGACACGACTTAATGACTAAACAACAATAAAAATATAACAGATACAAGTTTTAACCAAAAAAACCTAAGTACAGTGGTGCCTCGCATAATGAGAAACAGTTTCACGATGGCCGCCGGAACACCCAAAATGGCCGCTGGAGCACCCAAAATGGCTTGCGGAACACGCAAAATGGCCGCCGGAACACCAAAAATGCCCACGGCTGGATGGGGAAACATCGCAGAACAGTGAGTTTGGGGGCCATTTCCAATGGGCTTTTCTGTTCCGTTTAGCGATGTTTCCCCATAGCGAAGGTTAATCCAGAACGAATTAACTTCGCTATGCGGGGCACCACTGTATCTGTTAAATATCGGCAGAGGATGTATGCTGTTCCTAATATTGCCATTTTTTGGAGCTCTGATGGTGCGATTTCTGAGATCTGCAACTGCTTATGGCACTTAAAATATTTATAGTACTTATTTTCCTTTTTTATTATTATTATTACAATCATCATCATTATTATCAGTTGTTGTTCTAGTATCACAGCCGGCAACTTGGTTGCAGAAATGGAACATTGTGAAGGAAGGATTGGTGAAGGAAAGATTGTTTCAAAGGGTGCCGTATTTGGGGCTCATAACCCTCGCCAAACAATTGAACAGACCTGTAAGGAGATCATTAAATCAGTAAGTGACGGTTAGGGCAGAGGCAACTTCATTGGCATGCAGAGATGGGAAAGAAAAGAGTCAGGGAAAGAGATGCGGGTACCAGGCAGAGGAGCACAGAGCCGGGAGAGGCGGTGAGTGGGGATGGAAATTCAGGAAACAAAGGGGCTCTTTGATGGGAGGCAAGACAGAGGGCCCTAACAGGACGGTAATGGTGGGAGGAGGAAAGGAGAGCATGGAAGGAAGGGGGAAAAAAGGAACAATGCTTGTTACCTGAATGGACCTCAAATGGCAAGCACGCCCCACCGTCTCGGCAACATACACGAACATCTGTGGGGACAGAGGAAGCAGGAAGTGAGTCTGGGAAAGGATCTCTGAGCTCAGCCCATGAGATCCACTTCCCTCCCAGAGGCCAGGACGGAGGCCAAAATGACACTGTATCAATCAACAATGCTTATCTTGTGCAGTTTTTTTTGGAGTGACGCTGCAGTTTGGTCTCACCCTTGCTGCGGTGATCTTAGGACAGCGTGAGTGAGCTCGTCTCCATTTATCCTTGCAATAAGCTATACAATGAGACAAGGCTGAGAGAGAAAATGATGGGTCAAAGACTTGGTGCACTGCTGAATGTTGGTATGAGCTCAGGGGTCAGTGCTCACCGTCTCGCCCTCTACCTCCTGGCTTTCAGAATGGCAAATCTGGGTTATTTTGAAAAATGAAACATTTATACAAGTCTCCTCTCTGCTGGGGGAGATTGCTAGAGTTTTTGTGAATTTTGTGCATTCCAGAAGGCTTTTTTTGGAAAAATAAATAAGAAGCACAAGTTTTTGATGTGCAACAAACACGATCATTGTGCAAAAAGAGAGAGAGAAAAGGCTACAGGTTGTTTGCTTGCACTGCTGCCGCTGCCGCTATTCACCCTTGGGCAGGGGCAAAATCTCTTACAACAGCCCAAGCATTTTTCTAGGGGTGTTTCAATGTGTCAGTCTCATTAAGGTTGTAAAACTGGGAGTATTTGTTATCTTTTATTATCCTGGTGCTTTAGCTTTTTGGCCCATAGCAACAGGGAATGAAGTATCTGACATACAGACACCCACCCACCCATCAAAGAATTCAGTGACAAATCCTTTCAACCCAATCTATATCAGGGGCACGTGTTACACCAGGGTGACAAGACAGTTGGACAGCTGGTATGAAGATACAGTGGTGCCCCGCTAGACGCTTACCCCGTTAAACGACGAAATCGCTTGATGATGCTTTTTTGCGATCGCTATAGCGATTGCAAAACGTTTCCTATGGGTTTTTAAAATTTAATGACAATTAGGTCCCTGCGTCGCAAACCGATTGTTCGCAAGACGGCGATTTAAAACAGCTGATCGGCAGCTCGCAAAATGGGTCCGGCTGTTTTCCAGACCTATTTCCGCAAGACAGGGATTGCAAAATGGCCACCCTATGGAGGATCTTCACTGCACGAGCAGGTATTTCCCCCACTGAAACACATTAACTGGTTTTCAGTGCATTCCAATGGGGGGTTTATTTTCGCATGACGACGATTTCACATGACAGCGATTTTAAAGGTTGCAAAACGATGTTTCCTATGGGTTTTTTAAATTTAATGACAATTAGGTCCCTGTGTCGCAAACCGATTGTTCGCAAGACGGCGATTTAAAACAGCTGATCGGCAGCTCGCAAAATGGGTCCGGCTGTTTTCCAGACCTATTTCCGCAAGACAGGGATTGCAAAATGGCCACCCTATGGAGGATCTTCACTGCACGAGCAGGTATTTCCCCCACTGAAACACATTAACTGGTTTTCAGTGCATTCCAATGGGGGGTTTATTTTCGCATGACGACGATTTCACATGACAGCGATTTTAAAGGAACGCATTATCATCGTCATGCGGGGCACCACTGTATAAGCAATCCAGGCTCCCATCCAATCTGAGCCATAAAGCTCACTGGGGATGCAATTTGGACCAACCATCTTCTCTCAGCCTGGCCTGCCTCGTAAGGCTGTTGTAAAGGCACAAGCAGGAGGAATAGTACTCTATACGTGGCCTTAAGCTCACTGGAATACAGACGGGATACACATGCAGTCTGCAGAGAATGAAATGCATTTGCCACTGGGCAAACCAGCCTTGTGGGTGTCTCCATACCCTACTCACCATTCAAATCTGAGGGTTGTCTCAGGAATTCCTTTTCTCCCAAGTGCCACAGGGTGGTACTAAGGGCTTATTGTTTTCGCTGCAGTGTGTGACCAACAGATGTTTGCTCTTCAAGCACTTTTTACCAACCTACGAACTCTGTGTTTGCAGCATATCAGATTGTGCTGATTGGGTAGGACCCAAATTTAGAGCAGGCTGAGTTAGGCAAAATGATCTTTGAGGGCTTCCAGTTCTGTTACACACTGAAACCTTTTTTTGTTTTTGCTCCAAACTGAGGGCTGGATAGCCCAGTGGTTTAGGCATCTGGCAGCAAAGCCAGAGGCTGGGAGTTCGATTCCCTGCTGTGCCTCCTGGGAAATAAGCCAGCCTATGTGGCCATGGTCAAGCTGCACCGTCTCAGGTCACCCCCAGAAGAAGTGAATGGCAAACCACTTCTGTGTATTCTCAACCGGGTAAACCCTGGAAAAGGTCGCCGTAAGTCAGAATTGGTTTGAGGGGACAATTTATTATTATCATATCATTATCATTAACCTGAAAGACCCAGGGGGGAAACTTAGTCCACATCCCCTCTTTTTAGCTTATGCAGAGAGGACCCGATTTCTCTACTCCAGTGGTTCCCAACTTTGGGTAACCCAGACGTTCTTGGATTGTAACTCCCAGAAACCCACCAGCATAGCAGATGGTGAAGGTTTCTGAGAACCGCCGTCCACAAACACATGGGTTACCCAAGGTTGGGAACCATTGTTCTACTCCATCCCTACCCACAGATGCTCTGTTTTCTCTACCACTCCTTATGAGAATTTATGACCTACAGGTGGAGAACCTCTGCCTCCCCAAATATTTTGGACCTCCACTCCAATCTGCCCAATCCAGTGTGTCCAGCTGTACGAAACGGAAGTCCATTCCGGAAGTCCAAAATACCTGGAAGTCTCAAAGGTCAGCACCCTATTCAAAAGGGTCACAACTCTACTCACTTCTAGGTATTCCAAGTCTGTGTCTTTCATTGTGGTGGCCACATTGAATATCTAGGAGAGAAGAGAGAGACAGAGCAAGGTGTCAGATGTTTGGAAGGCAGAGGCAGTAGAGGAAAGAACACAGATACAAGAGGAGGCATTGGGATCTGACAAGAACATACCTGATAAGAGCTGAGCAACATGGAAAAAGCTGAAAGCTTGACACCAGTTTCCTTGCTTCTGTCCACATCCATTGAACCCTCTGTGTCTACCAAGAACATGGCTACCTAAAGTTGTAGACAGTAGGACGAGATTTAATCAACCCTTAAAGGTTCATGACTCCATAAAGAGCAATGGATGGGTTTGGACAACAGCCTCCAATCCATGATGTAAAAGCTCAGGGATGGGGGGGGGGAATCATCTGGCATTGCATGTACCAACAGAGTTACTTCTTTTTCTAGGGTGGGAAATGTTTCTGCATGTGATGAGAAGGACTGCCAAAACATCAGGTTCAACACGAACAAAGGAAAGCAATAAAATGGAACTTGAAGGTAAAAGCAGAGTAGACTTTGTCTAAAAGGGCGGGATAGAAATCTAATAAATAAACAAATAAAATAAAAATTTCAAACTTGCAGGCTCTGCTATACTATGTTTTGCAAAGACAAATTGAAGTTCTACCACTCACTGTCAGGATCTGGCCCACACCGCCCTGGCAGCTGCAGGATCGGGGCCAGCCTGACCCAGGAATGGCCTAGTAGTGTTTGAAATCTAATAAATAAATAAATAAAAATGTCAAACTTGCAGGCTCTGCTAGACTATGTTTTACAAAGACAAATTGAAGTTCTACCACTCAGTGTCAGGATTTGGCCCACACCACCCTGGCAACTGCAGATCGGGGCCAGCCTGACCCAGGAATGGCCTAGTAGTGTTTGCAGGCTCAGGCCCTGGCCTGTGTAGCAGCTGCTGGGCCACTCATGAGGTTCACCTGGAAGCCTGGAGGGAAGACCTATTTAAGGAGTGGTTCTCCATGCCAGAAGTTGCCTCAGAAACAATAGTCCATGAGGTTCACCTGGAAGCCTGGAGGGAATGCCTATTTAAGGAGTGGTTCTCTGTGCCAGAAGCTGCCACAGCAACAATAGTTTTTGGTTGTGCTTGTTGCCCCTGAACTTCAGAGTCCCTGTGTTCCAGTATTCTTGGATCTGCTCCTGTTTCTGCCTTGAACCCTGCATCTTGGTGCCTCTGCTTGGTCATGACCAACTGTGTGACAGCAACAATAGTTTTTGGTTGTGCTTGTTGCCCCTGAACTTCAGAGTCCCTGTGTTCCAGTATTCTTTGATCTGTTCCTGCCTTGATCCCTGCATCTTGGTGCTTCTGCTTGGTCATGACCAACTGCACAGTGAGTGTCTTTGGACTTGATACTCTATGTGGTAGACTGGGTCCTGGTGCCCTTGCTCCTGGGATATCTTGGACTATGACACTCAGATACAGATGCAAAAGTCACACACTTTGTATTTAAAAAGCATTACTTCAGGAATTGTGACCCAAGTCCTTCATGCACCCATGATCCTACTCTTGATTGACCCACAGACTTTCCACCCTGCTGTTTTGTGGGAAAAATGGTGTGAAAAATACGGTACTTCAGGAACTGTGACCCAAGTCCTTCATGCACCTATGATCCCACTCTTGATTGACTCTCCCTGCACTGAGTTTTCTTCACTTTAGCAAAAACAGTGGGGGAGAAGAGCAGCCATTTTGTTATTGACATTGTCAAGTACTCCAGATATTGCTGGCCATTTCCATGACTCCCCCCCTTTAATCTACCTACTTGTTAAGGCTGATGGGATCTGCAATTCAGTAACATCTGGAGGGAAGCATTCTGCCCACTGCTGCATTGAACTCTTACTTTTCCATGTTCAGTGGAGATCCAAAACGGCTGACTCCATATCCATATCCCCTTGGTGGTGGTGGTAGGTCCTGGTTGCCACTCAAATCCCGCCAGGGGGTCATTTTCTTCACCCATCCATGAATCATCCTCAGCCACCTGCCAACAAGGAAGAAATGCAGGATTGTGTCTGAAAGGAAGAAGGATTCTGGTCCTAGGATGGAGAATTTGACATCCTTCCCTGGGGAGGAATCCTTTACTATTGAGAATAGCTCAGTGACTTAGGTCTCTGGCCGCAGAGGTTGGGAGTTCAATTCCCCACTGTGCCTCCTTGAAAGGGGCTGGACTGGATGACCCATAGGGTCCCTTGTAACTTTGCAGTTCAAAGTTTATTTTTATTATTTTCAGACTAGCAGGTCATAGACTCCTTAGGTAGCCACAGGCATGTTTCTGATACCTTTAGCTCAAACCTATGCACAACTTCCTAATGCCTCTAAGTTAAGGAATAGATCACTGGTTCTCAACCTCCAGTAGCCCAGGCATTCTTGGACTGCAACTCCCAGGAAGCACAGCTGGTGGTGAAGGCTTCTGGAAATCGCAAGACAAGAACACCTGGGTTAGCCAAGCTTGGGGACAGCTGGTGGTGAAGGCTTCTGGAAATTGCGACACAGGGACACCTGCTTGGGGATGACAGCTATCTCTAAAACCTGTAGCAAGCATTAAGATTGCACTTTTTACTGTGCTCTGCCCAGAACCTCTTTCGTTTTCCCTCTGAGATTACACAGTGTTGTGTAATGTTTTCTATTTGTTGACTATTTAAGTATCTTCCAAGTGCCTCATAAAATTAAATAATGGGGAGAAATAAGTTTTGAACAAACAAAAGGATTTTTAAAGGTACCTTTCTTAAATGTGTGGAAGAGAAAGGTAGTGTCTAGGCCATATCAATTAAAGCACAAAACAATTGTAAAATATAAATAAAATACAATAAAATAATTATAAAATATAAATACATTTTTCTGTATTTTGATTCAAAATATCTGCTGTCACAGACTGTCTACACAAAATGAAATCCCTGCAACCAGCAGCAGCAGCTTCTTTTTCCAACAGGAAACTAGGCCCAGCCTATTTTGGGCCATGTGGCCTTCCAGAGCGGTATTTTTCCAGGTGAGCACAATTTAAGCATACAGTCATGCCCTGCTGGACGATTACCCCGTTTAACGACGAATCTGCTTAACGTTGAAGTTTTTGTGATCGCAAAAGTGATGTTTAGATTGGGTTTGTTTGTTTAATGACAATCGGTTCCCTGTTTCGGGAACCGATTTTTTGCTTTACGACGATCAGCAACAGCTGATTGTCGGGTTTAAAAATGGCCGCCGGCTTTCAAAATGCCCCCCCGCTGTTTTCTAGGATGGATTCCTCGCTATACAGGCACCATAAATGGCCGCTGTATGGAGGATCTTCGCTGGATGAGCAGGTATCCAGCCCATTGGAACGCATTAACTGGGTTTTAATCGATTTCAATAGGTTTTTTTAAATTTCGTTTGACAGTGTTTTCGCTCTACAGCGATTTCGCTGGAACGAATTAACATCGTATATCATCTGTATATCCAGCAGGTGGATCTCCGAGAACGGAATAGTCTGGGATCTGGAGTCCAAACAAACACAAATGAACACACCTATTGACCACTCCCTACCAGATTCTTTGATGGATCCTTATTAACTGATTCTCAGAACAGACTGGCTCTCTCAACTGCCTCACTGCCAAAACATTCAAATCACACCAACCAATCAGCATTCATCTCTTCAATCAGCATTGCAGGCCAACCATATTAGCGCTCAACTTGTGAATGTCTATTCAGGCATTCCCAGCCATCCATTATCAATACTACTTTTACACTTGCACGACTGACAAGCACCAACAGAAACCCTGCTGCCGCCACCCCAAACACATTATGACACTCACCAGGTTTTGGAATCGTCTCCGGAGGAAGTTCAGCAGGAAGGATTTGCCACGGCGCTGTTCACCAAGAATGGAGACCAGGCAGACTGGAGAATCCTTCACCTGACCTTCCTCCAAGCAAGAGCTTAGCACCGCCTCATCCAGGCAGAGATTTCCATTCTCATCCAGACCCACCAGCTGCACCGGTTCTCCCATCTGTGACAGCGGGATTGGTATCTCCTGAAAGAGGTATAACACAGTCAGGTCAAGAACAAGCCCTATGCTCCATTCAGAATAAGCCTGGCCCATGCATCTGTGTTGGGAGGGAAACCAACACAGAGGCAGGGCTGGTCCAGATGAAGAAAGAGATGCCTTCTCATTCCTTGCATCAAATCTATGTTGACTGACTGTTGAATCTTAGATCCACCCTGATAATGCGAAGTATTATTGGCCGTAACAGAAGGCTCATATTAGTTTTGGAGCACAAGGTAGGCCTTTTATTACCATTTTTTTTCTTCTAACACTTCGCTACCACCTCCTAGCATTTGTCAATCAAGGTGGTTTCTTTGCTCTGCCTAGCACTCGGGGTGATCCTGCATAGAGTAATGTGGCAGGGTTTGTATTGTTTTGCAATTTTGCTGATGGTGATACATGTGTGGGTGTTTGTATATCAAATCTGGCTGCCAGGTGAGCATTGGTGCTATGCACCATGCATGTTCTTCTTGCAAGTCCCACCAGCAAAAGAGGCTAAGTTGGTGGAAAAGTATGTGGGCTCATATTTATTTATTGCAGCTGCATTCCAGCTATGGAGGTCAGAGGGGAAGCTCTGATTCAGCTTCAAGTAGGGACCAACACCGAGTAGGCATGGTCTAGAGGGGTGGGGTAAAAATCCAATAAATAAATAAATAAATTCTTGTAACTCGTGCTTTTTTCCAAACGTTAATATGAGACTGAAAGCTGGTTCTGGTGCCTCAAGTTTTCAGAACAGCTTTCCTCTGGAATGTTGCTGAAGTTGTTTTAACATTCTGTGTACTATGTACTGCATCGGACTTGTAGTTTTGAAACACTGCAATAAAACCAATATTAGAACAGTGGGCAGAATACGTATGTGTAAAGTGGATGGAACTAAATAGTCAGTTGGAAAAAAACCAACTCTGCCATTTAACATGCCACTCACTGTAGTAAATGAAGTAGAAATAGATGGCAGTGAGTTCTACTTGTATCCTAGCATGGAATGAGTCAGATCCACACTTGGGATGGAGACTTCATCTATGAGATCAATGGGATTCCGCACAGTCATAATTAGCTTGCTTGCTTGCCATGTGTCAGCCCTTAAGATGCTAATACCTGGATCCAACCCAATTGATTCTCCCAGATACCATATTAATGAATGCTGTAATTTCTCCTAGTTGAGTAAGTGCCATTTCCAACACCTGTTAGCTATTGTGTGGCTCCAATTACTTATAAGCCATTTTGGGCCTGTTTTTATTCTTACTGGTTCCTTCTCAAACTCCTCTGTTAGAGGGAGCTGTCCAATTTTTTCCACCAGGTTCTTCAACCGAGTGTCTGGTTTCATCCTCTCCCGGCTGCAGGGATGACGGCATTCGGGGCAACGGTACCCATTTTGCAAGGGTACACTCCAGTGGGCAGTCAAGCATCCCCTACAGAAATTGTGTCCACAGTCAATGGAGACAGGATCATCAAAGGACTCCAGGCAGATGGAACATGTGATGTCCTCTTGCAGGGTCTGGATCATGCCTTTTGCAGACTGCTTTGGAGGGTCGGCTGGTGGGTCTGGCCTGCAAGGCATAAGAAGGGTAGAACCTATCAAGCTGCAGATGGGACTGGATGGACACATAACCCCATCATCCCTAGCCAGCACAGTGAATGATTGGTGTGATGGGAAATTGAGTCCAAAAACACGTACAGCATTCATTTCCAGATGTTCTTAGACTGCAACTCCCAGAAGCCTTCACTCCTAGCTGCGGTGGCCAGGATTTCTGGGAGTTGTAGTCCAGGAACATCTGGGGACCCAAAGTTGGCAAACACTGACCTAGAGGGTCCTTCATTCTCAGTCATAAGTTAAACAGAGGGAGCCAAGGACTATTTGTAGCTGTGGCTTTACCATCATTCAACTGCATCTGCAGATCTTAGCCTGGATATAGCCCAAATAGATGCATGATGATAAGGTAGAAGGAAGTTCAATGAGATCCTGGGTGGTGACCTGCCTTTGCATCCTATATCTCCGAAAGGGAGAATAGGTGGCCCTCTGGAAGTTGTTGTTCTGCAGCTCTTATCTACCACTGCTGGTTGACAAGAGTTTCCACCTAAAAAAATGGCACCTAACCCTGGACTACTGCATCCCAGATCCCCACTCACTTACTGCAATACTACCTGCTTTGGATTTTTTTTTTTTGGCTCATGGCTATTTGTCTTGTTTGCCACTTCCACTAAGATTGTTTTTGATTTTATGAAAACAACAAAGGGTTTTGTGGCTCTTGAAAGAAGAGCAAGTTTATTTTGGTATGAGCTTTTAGGTGCTCCAGCCCTCTTCTGCCGATGTAAATGAAGCTCTAAGGCAGTGGTTCCCATCCAAGGTGTTCTTGGACTGCAACTCCCAGAAACCCCAGCCCACACAGCTGGTGGTGAAGGCTTCTGGGAGCTACAGTCCAAGAACACCTGGGTTACTCAAGGTTGGGAATCACTGCTCTAAAGGTATCACAAGCCTCTTTGTTGTTTTTGTTGCAATATCTTAACAAGGCTCCAGAAACTTTTTAAGGTGGCTGATGCAAAACCTGCTTTTGCAAAGACAGATGGAGCACCTGAGGATGCATTATGTGGGGTAGCTTCTTCTCCCATTCCTTCTGGGACAGAACCAGAGATTGGGCGGGGGGATGAACAAGCTATATCCTAGCATCACCGTTCCATACAGGGTTGTCAGAGTACACCAAGAGCCAGCAAGGAAGGAGTTAATGGGTATTTAGGATAAGAAGATCTTCCTTTTGCCTTCTGTGAGAGATGGAGAACTTCCACATTTCCATAAGATAAGGGGAAGCCAGAAAGTATTTTGATCTAATCACTTACAAGAGAGAACAAAGCTCTCTGGCTTATGTTACCTTGAACTTTTGATTGGTTCAGGTGAGGTTTCTTTGGGTGTAGCTGCGCAAATAGATAAAACATAGCCTAGAGTCTCTTGTTCATTCCTGCAGACAATGAATCCCTGCAGAAACTGTTGAGTTAAGAGGCAAGAATCCTTCTAAGCTGTTTGGGGGAGAATGTTTAGGCAAAGGAAGACAGGTTTTAGGACAGATCCATAGATGGCTGTGACCCTAAGCAGGAACATGGAAGCTTCAATGAATTGGTTGGGATTGCATTTTTGTATTAATGTGTAGAAGACCGAGTTGTGTGGTCTCTTGTAAGAGCTGCATGCACAAGAGTAATGGGAGAAAAGGTGTGAGGATGTATTGGGAGAAGCCAGGTGCCAGGAACTGCAAATATGAATATGAAGTAAGGGAAAAAAATCTCTTATTGGCAAAGCCCAAAATGTTTACCTCTTTTGAGATGTTGAAGCAAATGTGCAAGAATGAATCAGATTACAGAAGCTACTAATAATTTGTGTGACAGTATATAGTACAGCAACACTTCAGAAACAAAGTACTGCAGTATTTTGGAAGGAAGGTCGAATGGAGAGGTGCCCAAGATCACATATAGTTCAGTCCCAAAGCCTTTCTACATTGCCATTAAAAAGAACTGGGATGGCAAGGAGAGATTGAACAATGGCCCTCTGTGACAGCTTCTCAATGGAGTGCCCAAGGGTCATGCTGGACTAAAATGCCCATCATTCTGAGCCAGCAGAGAGTGATGGTAACCATGGATCTAAGGGTGCCAGTTTGGAAAAGGCAATGAATCAGATTACAGAAGCTACTAATAATTTGTGTGACAGTATATAGTACAGCAACACTTCAGAAACAAAGTACTGCAGTATTTTGGAAGGAAGATAGAATGGGGAGGTGCCCAAGATCACATACAGTTCAGTCCCAAAGCCCTTCTACGTTGCCATTAAAAAGAACTGAGATGGCAAGGAGAGATTGAACAATGGCCCTCTGTGACAGCTTCTCAATGGAGTGTCCAAGGGTTGTGCTGGACTAAAATGCCCATCGTTCTGAGCAGAGAGTGATGGTAACCATGGATCTAAGGGTGCCAGTTTGGAAAAGGCTGCTGTATGAAATATCAAGAACAGTGCAGTTGCAAGCATCCATGGGGAAAAATCCTCTCCCCTGCACTATAGGGCTGCCTATCCCCTAAGAAAAGGATTTTTTTTGTTGTTCTTGAACTTGAAAAGTCCCAACATCCAGAATCCAACTGGTGATTAATATTTGCGTAAATGAAACTGTATAGGCCTTGGCACCAAATTGCTGTTGATTAATATAATAATGTCTTAGAACTGCAGAGCTGGAAGGGATCCTATAGAACAGAGAGGCATGGTGGGGAATCAAACTCCCAACCTCTGACTCTGCAGCCAGGTACTGAAACCACTGTTAGATTAGCATGTTTTCCCTCCAAAAATAGGATTTCTGCAGGGATACACTGTGTGCCTGAGCAATAAGGTGCTGGTTGCACTCTTGAGCCCATGTTTTGGAATGAACCCAGGAACAGAACCAGTACCTTGTGAATGAGCAGCAATTTGCCATCCCAGATTACACAATTTCATTTAAACTAATAATATTTATAAATTCCAATAATGTGTTTTTTTTTAAATCAAAAGGGCAAATCATACTGTGTTACTGTGCTAGACCTTCTCAGTCCTAATTTCTTTATTTTTTATTATTGAGAGATCACGTTAGTCAACCCATCACCCAAGTGTCAACTTACGGTTTAATATTCTTGTTCCCCATTCCGTGGCAAGGCTAATGTTGAAGGTCTCAGACCGGGAAATCCTTCGTCCTCCTATAAGTAAAGAATAGTGCGGTAAAGTGGAGCTGTCTGTCTCAATAGCCAGTGTATTTATAAGGAACTTTGTAACGGGGTTGGGATGGAAGAATTGTTGGGTCAAAACAGCCTGAAAGCAAAAGGTAAAGGCTACTCTCCTGCCAACCTAGCAGTTTGAAAGTATACAAATGCAAGCAGATAAATTGGTACCACCTATTTAGAGAGAGAGCACGTACATACGTACGTGATGCAATATGTAGCCTGTATAATTAAACTGTAAGCCACCCAGAGTGTACTCTAAGCACTATGGGGGAGTATATAAGCAGCATGCTTTGCTGTGATTATTGCTATCCATACCTTCCTATATTCTAAGACCCCCTCTGTATAACTGCAGTCCTCACTGTAGGTAAGCAATGGGTTTTGCAGCTATTCTTGTTGAAATAGAAAATAATTTAGGACAGCTTGATCTTGAATGAGCAGTGAAGGCCCCTCAGCTTCATGAGAAATTGCTAATCTTAACCTCTTTGGTGACTTCTTGGGTCTCCTCCTGCAACCACACATCTCAAGAACCAAAGTCCAATATCCCAATCATTGTGCTGTCCTTTGCCAGCTCACTAGTCTATGACCACCAACTGATCCTCATAAACTGGGCATTATCCTATGTACTAAGCTCTGGGGAGAAATATAAGTGTATTGTTGACATATAGTACCCATGAATTTTTTTGTGTAGACGGTAGTGTAAAACTCATAAAATGCATGAAATGCACAACACAAGAAATCTAATAAAATGGTAATGAGTAGTGCAAGATGCTACAACTGATCATTCAAAGTAAAAATAAATAGGAAAAGAAGTGTATGTTAGATAACTCCTTGACTGAACAACAAAAGGTTAAGAACCACTGTGTTAGATAACGTCTTCACTGAACAAGCAGGAGACTGATTTGGATGTGACACAAATTTGTTCTGTGGAGTTAGTTGGAGTACCCATAATTAAGACAGCCATGGTGATGTCTAACTAGCCGGACAAGAACATGAAAGAAAACAGAGAGTAAGACATCATCTGAAATATTTGGACTCTTCTCCACTTCAAAGTTTACAACTACACCCATATGTCTGTCCTCTGATAGCTGACCTACATAGCCATCATGCACTGAACATAGATACACTGAAGCACCAGCCCAAGGAGTCGGTTTATGTTGGGATATTGAGTGATACGTTTTCAGAAAAGAGAAGGAAAGTTCCCAGGTATACGTGTGAGACCAGGATCAAAGAAACCTGACTTCAAAACCCTTATCAGCCATGAAGTTTACTAATACTACACTTCTGTGGATCTTCACGGTGAAATTAAGCTATGACATGTAATGTTCAAAGAGGTTTATTTTCATATGAAGTAAACATAGGATTGCTGCCCAAGCAAACAGAGGATTGAGTATGACCCTAGATGAGTCGTTTTATAACCTTACTGATCTTACAGGACTTCGGCAAGGATGAAATAAATGGGAGGCAAACAGTATTTTAGTTTGAACTCCATCAAAAAATTGGGGGAATAAATGACAGGAAGGAGGGCAGGAATGCAATCTGAGTGTGTGTGGGTGTGCGCACACACACGCTTTGGGATTATTCTTATTATTGCTATCATTGCTATTTGTGGAAAAGGTGTTATTTTCTCCTATAGGCCCTCAGCCCAGTGACTAAAATGCTTCAGTCCTTCGGAAATGAGCCAAACTCTTTTCTGCACTTCACATTCTAGAGATGTTTTGGACCTCACGGCCCAGAAATCCCAAACAATGCAGGCAAGGATAATGGAATGTGGGAATTGTAGTCCAGAATTTCTGGAGGGTGAATAATTTTCCAGCATTGTCTTGTAATATAGATCAATGGTTCCCAACCTTGTATCTCCACATGTTCTTGGACTAAAACTTCCAGATATTTTTACCACTAGCTGTTCTGGCCAGGATTTCTGGGAGTTGCTGTCCAAGAACATCTGGGGACCCATGACTGGGCACTACTGATGCAAGTGGTTTGGGGCTGATCCATAAGAAACCTGTGGTTTCTACAGTGCATTTCTTTATTTTTATTTATTTATTCATCATTGCCATCATAATATTAGAACTGCAGAGCTGGACAAGCACCCTATGAATCATCAAATCCAGCCCCTTCCAAGGAGGCACAGTGGGGAATTGAACTCCCAACGTCTGGACCCGCAATCAGATACCCTAAAACAATACAGTGGTGCCTCGCTTAACGAGTGCACCATTTAATGACGAATTTGCATAGTGATGCATTTTTTGCAATCGCTAATGCGATGTTTTAATAGGGAAAACATTGCATTGCGATGATTGGTAAGCGTTTCACTTACCGATCTTCGCATTGCGATGTTTTTTAAACAGCTGATCGGCGGTTCCAAAATGGCCACCGCATCCGCAAGATGGCCGCCCGTAGCATTTTCGCGCCCTGCCCTCGCTTACCAGGCAGCGAAAATGGTGGCCAGATCGAGGATTCCCCGCATAGCGGTGAGTTTTTGCCCCAATAGGAATGCATTAAACCCATTTTAATGCATTCCTATGGGGTTTTCCCCTTTGCATAGCGATGAATCCAGATAGCGACGTTAATCCTGGAACGGATTGACGTCGCTATGCGGAGCACTACTGCAGTTCCCAATTGTGGGTCCTCAGATGTTCTTGAACTGCAACTCCCAGAAATCCTGGCCAACACACCAATTGGTGACAGCTTCTGGGAACTGTAGTCCAAGAACACCTGGGGACCCCAGTTTGACAACCATTGCTGCCTTTCTTCCCATAAGGGGACCCAAAGTGGCCCACAGCAATAAAACAGATTTAAACACACAGTAAAAGTGTCACATTTAAAAAACAATTAAACACATATTGAGACAAAAAAAATTAAAAACAAATTTAGGACAGTTAAACATCTGTAAGGTCAGAACCAGCATTCCTGAGACAACATGCCTGAAGAGGAGGGTCTTTGCCTGCTGATGGAAGGACAAGAGGGAGGAGGGCAGCCTTGCTTCTTGGGGCAGTGCCTTTCAAAGTTTGGGAGCAGCCACTGAGAAGGTCCTCTCTTGTGTCCTCACCGAATGAGCTTGGCAAGGTGGTGGGACTGAGAAAAGGGCATCTCCAAAAGAACTTAGAAGCCAAGAAGGCTCATATGGGGTGACATGATCAGTGTAGTCTTGTATATTTTTACCCCCAAATAAGTATTATTGAGTTCAGCAGGATTTACTGCCCAGTAAGTACATTTTGAAGAGGGACGCGGTGGCACTGCGGGTTAAACCGCAGAAGCCTCTGTGCTGCAGGGTCAG